ATACAAAGAACGTTTCACTCAGTATCACGTCATTCCCCCTCCTGCCTTCGCGTGCCCCCGCCCCTCCCCCCCCCCCCCCCCCCCCGGCCTCCAAGCCCAGCTGACCTGGTGCTTTTTCTCAGTGTCCAACCTCCTGCGTGAGTGCAGGGAGCTGAGTGCCTCCCGGAACGTAGCGCGCAGTGCCCGCTCCATCAGGGCCTTGTGGTACGCTCCTACCACGTTCCCACACAGGAACAACACAGCGTTTGCTGCCAACTGTGGATGAGCACTGGCTTCAGAGGAAGCAGAACCAATGCGAGGTTGGGAATATCTATAGGATGGTCTCCAAAACTGGCTGGGGATAGCCAAGTCCTACTTTTAGGGACCAGTGACTTTCAGGACATTTCTGAGTATCTTAGGGACTTCTGTGTATCTTAGGGACATTTCTTTCTTTCTTTCTTTCTTTCTTTCTTTCTTTCTTTCTTTCTTTCTTTCTTTCTTTCTTTCTTTCTTTTTTTGGTCCCGTTGTGGGGTCTGAACTCTGGGCCTGAGGTGCTTTCCCTCAGCTCTTCAGCTCAAGGCTAGCGCTCTACCACTTGAGTCACAGTGCCACTTCTGGCTTTTTTTCTTTTTGCTTATGTGGTGCTAGGAATGGAACCCAGGGCCTCATGCATGTAAGGCAAGCGCTCTTCCACTGAGCCACCTTCCCAGCCCCTTAGGGACATTTCTTATCCCTCCTTCATGTTTCTGCTCTAGATTCTTGTCTACTGGATCAACATAGTCTACTAGATCTAGAAACCTTTGCAGACAGATTTCCTGTCGGGAATACCCTTACATCATCCTCACCCTCATCTATGCCAACTGCACAAAATTACTCTCGTTCTGATTTTATTCTCTGTAAAACTACTCAAAGTCTGATTTATATTCTCTGCAAAGGTTTCATCACCAACTTCTCTCCTCTTTCCTCCCTCCTCCCCCCTCCCAGCTCCCCCCTCCCTCCCTCCTCCTTCTCCTCTTTCTCTGGATTTTTGGTGGTTAATTGGAGATAGGAGTCTCCTGCACTTTTCGTGCCTAGGCTGGCTTCAAATCCTGATTCCCAGACTTCCCACTTCCAGGGTAGCTTCATTTCAACTTCTGTCCTGGGAGAACCACCTTCCCTATGGGCCGAGCGCCCCCTTCTGGTACAGGTAGGTTGGTGCTGCACCGATTAGCAGCTCCCGGGTGGGGGCACAATGGTTGGAAAGGATCTGCTAGTATCCAGCGCCCAGTACTGTCCCACTGCCTTGGGGTCAAAGCCCAGCAATCACTCAGAGGACTTATTAGCACTAGCAGAGAGCCCGATTTGGGCACCGCCCGTGCTATCTGAGTGCTTACCTGCGGTAGCAGCGCAGGCCTGGAGCCCGACTGCGGCCCAAGGTAGAGCCCGAGGACCAGCAGGTGTGACAACGACGAGGTGAGGCCTGCGGCGGCGGCGTCCCGCATGCTCAAGGGCAGCATGGCGTACACCGTGAAGATGACGAAGAGGAAGAAGGACACCTGAGGCCGGCGGGGCGCGGGAAGCTGAGAACCCGCACTTCTCGGCACAAGGGAACAGATCGCAGCGCTGGGCACTCCCCTGTCCCCGGCCTGCCATTCCTCTCACCTGGTCCCAGGCGCTCACCACGCCCCCGGTGAATAGGAAGCCATGGCCCAGAGCCAGCAGTGCGGCCCACACCAGGCCCGAAAGGGGACGCGTCCAGCGCTGCAGTCTCTGCTCGCGGGAGGCCAGGCCCATCAGCAAGGAAAAGCCGCCCAACGCGCACACCACAGTGGTCAGAAAGCCTGGGTCTGAGGTCAGCTCCTGTCCAGGTGGGGAAAGGGCGCGGGAGGGCAAGATTGGGCTGGGTAGCTTGGGGGCTGTCACCCAAGGCAAGAAGGAGCGAACCAGACCAAGGAAAGGGGGCGGATAGCCTCAGGTCAGTTCTACAACAGTGTCTCAAACCCAAGAACGAAAAGGACGCTGGGCTCCTCTGAACATCTTTCCTGCCAGGCCGAATCCTAAGAAATTGTGTGCATCGCATTGCGCCACTGGCCCAAGCCTGTAATCCTAGCTACATAAGAGGCTGAATTCTGAGGATGGCAGTTTGAAGCCAGCCTGGGAAGAAAAGTCTGTGAGATTCTTCTCTCCATTTAACTACCAGAAAGCCAATCTTAGGAGTAATGCTTAGGCCCTGAATTCAAGACCCAGGACCAGCATACACACACACACACACACACACACACACACACACACACACACACACACTTGCAGATTATTTTGCATCTTTGATTGGTAGAGTTGACAATCTCCTATCAACCTCATTACCTCTTGCACGCAGTAGAGACAGCAGCCTAGAATGTGTGCCCCAAAGACCTGGTTCTATCACCATACTGTCTATTTGTGAATCCATAATCTTTCCATGCCTCAGTTATCTTATCATCAGGCAATTATTCTAACCTCTGCCTGGCTTCTGGCAAGTAGAAAGATCCTAAATCATAAAAAAGCACTTAACAACCAACAGCAACAACAAATCCATGACATTGTCCAAAAAGAAATGTACTCTTCTTTTTTTGGGGGGGGAGGGGTCAGTTGTGGGTCCTGAACTCTGGGCCTGGGCGCTATCTCTTAGTTCTTTAGCTCAAGGCTAGCTCTCTACCACTTGAGCCACAGCACCACTTCCGGCCTTTTCTGCTTATGTGGTGCTGAGGAATTGAACCCAGGGCTTCATGCATGCGAGGCAAGCACTCTACCACTGAGCCACCTTTCCAGTCCAAGAAATGTACTCTTTACCTGAATTATGTCACTGCAAGCGCTCTGTAATCATCTTTATAATAACAATAAAAATATAAAAATAAAAACCCCAGTCTCCAAATCTGACTAAAATACTTAGGTGACTCCAAGATTCGGGCGAGGCGCGAGGCAGCCTGTGAACGGCAGGGGGCGCACATCCCTAGTCGCAGGCCTGAGATCGTAACACCTGCTAGCTCCGAGTAGAGTCACACCGCGGACACCGCCCTGGGTCCACACCTCTTTCCGGCGTTTGGGGGTGGACCAGCAAGGGCTGACCGCACCCAAAGATCTCCCCCCACCCCGCACCATCTTGTCACTGTGGAGTGAAAAGGAAACCCAGAGCAGGATTATTTGCAGATATAAAATTGAAGACCCCTCCTTCTCCAAAGAGAAACTGAAAATGTCATGCTTTGTTTTTGTGTAGATCTAAATGAGAGGGAAAGGTGCCTTCTGGGAGTGTCGGGGTACAACTGCCCCGCACTCCAGGAAATGAATTCCCCGAGGGGTGGGGTGGGGTGGAGTACAATTTCCCCTCGGGTAAACTGGAAAACCTGGTGTCGGATTTATTCTAGAGCCAGTAGACCCCTAGACAAGCCTTGGGAACGGGACTGCCTTCTTGTACAAACTCAGAGATCAAGGCCCCGAGAGGATGGAGGGACTTGCCCAGGGTCCATTATCAAGGCTTAATGCTTTCTATCCGGCTCCCGGAAAAGACACCCCCCCAAACACACAAGGAGACCCCTCAAATCCCAATCCCCTGATAGGCCCCGTAGGCCGTGACCCTCCCCGACCCCGAGCCGAGCGGCGGCCCCCCGCGCAGGGTCCGGCCGGCCGCCCAGACCCGCTCACCCTGCCGCTGGCCGAGGCGACCGCGAGCAGCGCCACCAGGGCGCAGAGCACCACCGCCAGCAGCAGCAGGAGCAGCGGGTACTGCTGGCTCAGGCTGTAGTAGGTCTCGTAGAAGAGGTCTTCGCTGGGCGGCGGTGGGGGGCTGAAAAGGCGGGCCATGATCTCTCCCCCGCCGGGGCCCCCAGGCCTGGGAGGGATGGGGGGCCGGGTCACGTCCAGGCCCCCCCCCAGCCTTTCCCACCCGTCCCTGAGGCCCTTCCAACCTCCCCACCCCGTCTCTTTCCAGGGATTTGCTCCCCATCAGCTCCTTCTAGGCCACCCCCCCCATGACTTCCCGCAAACCCGACGGTAAAAGAGTCTCCGCAAAGCCTCTTTGCCTGGGGGGGAAGGGAGACCTGGGGTGGACGAGGAGGGCTGGGGGGGGCCCTCAACTCACTGCACGCGCAAAGCTCTCCACGCTGAGCGCCTCGGCTCCAGCAGGGCGCCTGGGGGCTGGAGGTGGCGTCCCGCTCGCCCCCACGGCACGGTCTCGGGCGACAGTGGCTTCCCTCTCGGCGCCGGCGCCGTGGCCCCCTCCCACTTCCCCGACGAGACGGCCGGCCCGGCCCCTTCCCGTGCTGGAGCAGGATACTCCTGGCCTCCTCCCCGGCTCAGATTGTGTCTCCTAACCATTGCCCATATCACTCCGGCCTCTCTAGGACAGGGAGTATGGACGGGGGAGACCCCACGGGGAGGTGGGGTGGCCGGATGGGATGTGTCAAAACGAGGGGGCAGGATGCGCGGGTGAGGGGAGACTGTGAGGGCGACCCTGTAGTGAGGCCTGGCTAGAAGGCTGGGAAGAGCGCGGGTCCTGCTGGCAGATGGGGGTTGGGATGGAGTTCTGGACCATTCTGGTGCTCTCTGGAAGCTCCAGTGGACCACCCCCCCCTCTACACTGTCCAGTCTCTGCCTATCTCTAGCTTCCGGGGTCAGGGCGCTGGTGAATCAAAAACATTGCTGGGTAGTGCTGGACGCCAGCTAAGCCTAGAAAGCAAGTTGTGTGTGAGCCTGCATGGAGGAAAGCCCAGTGTCAGAAGTGGGGGTGAAAAGGGGTTCTCTGTCCTGTGAGTTTGGGTTTAGGGGAGGTGGGGTCATTTGTGAGCTCCACAGGAAGCTCTCCTCCCAGAGATTAGAGCACCGGGGGAGCCTGGTCTGGGATTCCTTCCTGTCACCAGCTGGGCCCTGACCTCCTGTGCCTGGACAGTTGCCTACCCCCAGCCCCCAGTATCTCTCCCTTCCCGGTTTAATCAGTGTCTCCGCCTCCCCAGCTCCTGTGCCCCTATCCCTATCCCTCCCACCCTGACTAATGACTCCTGCATCCTGCTGGCATTCAAATACATTTATTGTTTCCTGAGGGCTTAGTTACATCAAGTTTGGGCACTAGTTTGACAGTCTTCGCAGACAAATGTTGAGAAGGTGACGCTGGCTGTTTTGACTCTTGCTGGCAGCTTAGCTTTTGCTTTTATTCCATTGTGATTTCTGTGTGGCCCCACTCTGGCATAGGTTCTTGCAGGCTTTCTGTTGAACCTACTTGTAGGGGGGCTGCCAACCCCTACGCATGGGAGATGGTGCTGGGCTCTGCGTAGGAAAGTCAGGTCTCAGAGGTACAGTCATTTCGTTGTGGCTTCCAATCTGCACCCCAACACAGTGGGAGAAGGTCATAGACCCTTTAAGAGAAAGAGTATTGTTGAGCGGGAAGGAAGGTTTAGTGGTGGAAAGAGGTTAGCTATGGCATGGGCAGCGACACCTTGTGTTCAATCTAGGCAAGTTCAAGAATGAGGTCTGTAGGCCTGCCAGAGGCTGTTTCCAGGTGTCCTGTGCCTTCCACTCTGGCTGCTACTTCAGAAGTGGTCTAGCAGAAGCTCAATAGGATTAGGTACTAGACTTCAAGGCCTGAAACAGTGGAACTGAAGAGATCACAGATTTGCTGCTATACAAAGTTAGAAGACTTAGTAGCAAATCCAGGCCTTGTGCTAGGCCCTGGTGGTCACACCTGTAGTCCTTGATACTCAGAAGGCTGAGATCTGAGGATCATGGTTTGAAGCCAACCCCAGCAAGAAAGTCCATGAGACTCTTATCTGGAAGTGGAGCTGTGGCTCAAGTCGTAAAGCATCAGCCTTGAGTGAGAAAGCTAAGGGACAACATCCAGGCCCTGAGTTCAAGCTCTGGTGCTAGCACACACATAAAGAAAATCCAGGCTTTGCTGTATTGCCTTTCTCATTGGGTAACAATTTACTTATGAAATGAGATTGGGTTAGATAATCTCTAGTCCTTTCTCCTCACATAGATTTTTATACAGGTGTTAAGGAAGAAAGTGCTTAAATAAATAAATAAAAATTGAGCAGAAAGGATGGGTTGGGGAATGTGTACCTGGGCTTGAGGTCCTGGAGGAACAGTTGCCATCATTTCTCTGAGCCCCCTACAAACAACACAGAACACTTAGGCCTCCTGTCCTAGAGCCTTGTTCCCCATTGAACATCCCCTAAGTTCTTAGTGAGGGGATATATTTTAGATTTGCCTCACCTGATTCCTTTGGTGGCCAGGTCCTGGAGTGGATCTAGGCATGTGGTTTCTAAAATGTAAGGTCTCGGGTATTTGAGGAGTTCTGGCCATTGAATCTGCAGATGTTCCTACTCTCCCAGAATGCCAGCCCTTCTCTTCCTGTGCTGTACTCTCCTTAGTAAGTCTTGTGCCTTTTTCAGGATATGCGCTGGGAACTCTATTTAGAGTCAGGCTGTTTAACATTTCAGAAACTGTGGACCCAGTTGAAGAGCACTGGCTTCTAGTAGTTTTTGTCTCCCAGCCATCCATTTCTGGTCCTCTCTGGTCCAGTTCTGGAACAGACAAGCTCCAGTTGCTGTTCCTATCCTTAGATAGAAATGTCTTCACCTGTAGGGACAGGAGGAACTTGCAAGGCATGAGTTTAAAAAAGCCAGAGGAAACGTGAGGGAGTAGTTTCTTGGTCCATCCACTGTGGTCTGGGAACTCAGGGTCGGGTGAGGAGGAGAGGAATAAGGGCTAAGACATAAGGAACAATGGCCAATGTTGGGTGCCAGTGGCTCATACCTGTCATCCTAGCTACTCAGGTGGCTAACATAAGAATCCATGGTTCAAAGCTAGCCCAGGCAACACAAACAATGGTCCATGGGGAGTCATTGGGAGCACAATGGGAGCCATGTGAGTCATCTCTGAACAGCTTCTAGGTGGAGGATGGTGTTGAATGCTCACCAGGGTGACTCACCATGAGGACAGTGGCATCCATCTTGTCCTGAACGAAGGAGCAAGCTTCTTTGGTTTTTGGTTGGCAGTCTGAAAGACAGAAGGATGAACTGTAGGCCAGCAGAACTTCTTTCCCTTGCAAAGGCCCTGTACTGACAGACCTAAGTCTATCCTCACTGCCAATGAAATGGCCAGCTCACCCAGGAAGTCGGGCCTCTCACTGGGCTCATGGCTCCAGCAGCGCTGCATCAACTCCTTCAGTTCTTCCAGGCCACGAGTCTCAGGGCTGGATGGAGGCAACTCTGACAGTGGGGGTCGGATGTGCCGTCCACTGACTTGATCACAGATTAGTGACTCAGACACAACTGAAGTTGGGTGGGGGTGGCAAGAAGAAGCATTCAAGGTATGAGAGGATATTGGTTCAACCATAGAGAGGAGCAGGGAGTATCATCCGAGGGGGAGGTGAGGGGGGAAGACAGGAAAGCAGGAAAGGGAGGGCTCAGGGCTTTCAGGAAGAGGACACCCAAGTATTAAGGATCCCAGATTCTGCTAGAGTCTTACACTCTGCTTCTCTTCCAGCTAGCACCGCCCACATGAGGATTCCAAAGCTGTAAGACACATAAGATGGAGGCCTGGCCAACCACTACAAAAACTTCTCTCCCCACACCAACCTTTAGAAGAGTCCAGAAAAGGTGTAGAAATCTGGAAGAGGACGTGGAGCTGTGGCTCGAAGTGTAGAGCATTGGCCTTGAGTAAAAAAAGCTCAGAGGCAGCACCAATGCCCTGAGTTCAAGCCCCATGATGGACCAAAAAAAAATTTATTTTGAACGAAAGTTACTTTAGAAGCTTGGGGAGGGGGGGAGAGGGATTTCTTCCCTCTGGGGAAGGGGGACGGGGAGGTGGAATAGGTATCTTACCTGTATATATCACTGGCTTTGGAAGCTTTCTGGTTTACATTAGCTAACAGTTCTGGGGCTAAATAGGCTAGGGTGCCTCCTGACTCCAGAGATCCTGCCCCTGACAGTGACTTTCCCTGAAATCGAGATAGTCCAAAATCTGCCAGCTGCAAAGGAAAGAAAGAAGATACTGGCTGAAGGGGCCAGGAGGCCTCCCAAATTCTCTATCCCCCTAGAGCATGCAGGTCCAGCTTAAGGAGGAAAGAGAGAGTCAGAGAGGCCTTGGGTGGGCAACTGAGGCCTGCTAAAAGGCAGTCCCAGGCCATCACTTTCTGGAAGGCCTAGTGGTATATGGCCTGGGCTGAAACTCCTGGTTGGAATTTGAAGCCTAAGCAGTCTCATGCTCTAAGGAGGCAATTGAAGGTCTTCAACAGACAGGGCCACCAAAGGCTCTGTGTCTGAAGGGTGGATGGGTTCTGCCCTGGGCTGTAGATGTGCCTAACCTTGGCATGAAGCTCCGAGTCCAGCAGGACATTTGAGGGTTTGAGATCCCTGTGCAGAAGTTCCAGATCATGCAGATAACTCATTCCCAGCACCACTTCGTGTAATAGGCGGCAGCAAAGAGGCCAGGGCCGAGGGCGCTCAGGAGACCACTCAGGCTGCAGCAGCCCAGTGAGGGAGCCGTTCTCCATGAATCTAGTCACCAGAGCTGGCCCGGATATGTGGTCCCAATGCAGGGCTTCAGTGACCCCCAGCAGGGGCAGCACGTAATCATTACGAAGCTTGGCCATGGCCTTTACCTCCTTGGATATCTCCTCCCTACACTCCAGACAGAGAGCTGCAGTGAGCCTGGGTCCTGGGAAGATCTCCTCCCTTTCCCTCCCCTCTCCTCTCCTACCCTCCCTTCTTGTCCCCTCCCCTTCCCTCCCCTCTCCTCCCCTCGTCTCCCCTCCCCACTCAGCACAGTGGCTGTGCCTTCTTGGCTAGTCCCCAGCCGCCCAGGGCAGGGATCGCTCACGAGTCCACGATCTTGACCGCAACATCATGGCCCCAGGTCCTATGCTGTGCCCGGAACACCGCACCAAACCCGCCATGGCCAACAAACTTCGGGTTCTCCAATTTCTCACAGGACACCAGGGAGTCATCGGAGGCAAGGTTGACCCTGGGAACAGAGTGTCCCCCACTAGCTGGCCTTGCCCCACATCCCCCGAGCCTACTTCCCCCAGCCACCCCCACGGTCCCAGGCTCCGGCACTTTCGGGGTGCGGGGCGGGCTCTGGAATCCCGTCTAACTCCGCACTCACCCAAACTGGACGCAAGACGACATCAGGTGCCAAAAACTCCCGGATGGTCGAGCGCACGATTCGGGGCTTTCGGCAGAAATAAGGGGAGGGTCCACACGGATTCCGTTCTCTGGGTCGTTCCCCCAACATCGAGTGACAGAAAGACAGGACTGACTGACTTCCTACTCGGGCAGAGGAGTCTGCAGTCCCACCCTCCCGGGGCGGGGCCGAGAGCGAACGGGCGAAGAACTTTTCTCGGCGGGTTATGGTGTCCTGTGCACCTGCGGCGTGCTGCGTCCACCAGGGCGCAGCTGGGCCTTGGGTGTGCCCTGGAAGGAACTGTCGCCTGCCAGGAATCACACACGCAAGTCGCTGTCACCGCCCTGGTCTCTGGCTTCTCCCAGAGGTAGGGCCGGGGTGGGGAAGGACGTTGCTTAGGAGTTTTATGGTCCTGGGGCTGCGCTTTCTCACAGCAGTCCTGAGATCACAGGTAACACTTCCATGAAGCTTGCCCTGGGCCAGGTTATCTAATTTCACATCAACCTGCTCATTCAGTTTCACATCAACCCTAAGGAGAGAGGTACTGTTTTATTTACTTGTGTGTGTGTGTGTGTGTGTGTGTGTGTGTGTGTGTGTGTGTGTCCTTACCGGGCCTGACCTCCCTTTGGGCACTGTCCCTGAGATTTTTTTTCCATGCAAGGCTGGCACTCTACCACTTGAGCCTCAGCTCTACTCCCAGCTTTTTGGTGACTAACTGGAGATAAGAGTCCCATAGAGGGGGGGCTGGGAAGTTGGCTCAGTAGTAGAGCGCTTGCCTTGCATGCCTGAGGCCCTGGGTTCGATTCCTCAGCACCACATAAGCAAAAAGAAAAAAGCCGGAAGTGGCGC